AAAAAAAAATAAAAGGGATATATGATTAGGTATTACTGTCATGTCAGGAGTCCAGAACAAAGGCTGCACAGTAAAGTGGACTTGGGGGGGGTGGGGAGAGAATTATATAACAATGAAAGAATTTTTCTTTTACTTTTCAAAAAGAAGGACGAACTGGGGCGGGGGTGGGCAGGGAGAAAAGTGCAACATTGAATGAATGGAAATCTAAAGTCTCTGTAAAGTTTCATTAAAATTAATAAAAAAAATTTCTTTAGCCATTGTAAACAAAGTCAGTTTTCAGGTACTAATATGGGATGACACAAAAATATGTCAAGAAAAACATGGAGAATGAACAATCTGCAATATATGGATGGATTATATATTTATATGATCTCTGAAATAGTATTTTCACAGAGGGAGAACTGCGTGCTGAAAGAATGACATTTCATTATAGATCATTTTTGTTTCAGTTTTAAGCCATGTAACAATACATGTTTTGTTAAAAAAATTTTTTTTATTAAAAGAATAAAAGTTATAATTTTCCAATAAAAATACAAGATTGTTCTAGGCAAATCAAAATTAGAAGCATTTTATTTCTTTCTGATAAACTTTTCCACAATTCTACTGAGTCTTTCAGACTCCATGAGCTTATTTACTAATTCCTGCTCAACTGCCATTAAGGCCATATCACTATACCTCTCTTGTCCTGTGGTATGACATATGTATGTTTTAAGGCGAGGCAGTGAAGAAAAGAAGCTTTTAGCACTTGAAGTAAGCGGCCAAGACAATGCAATATGTAGTAGCTGTGAAATGCTGGGGATATTGCTATGAAGACCATGCTTAATAAACAAACAGCCAAGATTTATGAAATCAATACAATTATAATCTATGACAAAATTGAGCTTTGCATAGTGCCGATAAAACCTAAGTTCTGGGATAATATCTGCATCAAGTTGATAAAATTCTTGAATATGTTTGGCTGTTGCTTCATTTAGTGGTTCATTCCACTTAAATAATAGTTCTGAAACTTGCCTTACTTTGCAATAATCAAACTCAGAAAAACACAACTTTAAATTCTGTAATACAGTATCTAATCCTTGGTAATAAATATTAATTTTATATTGTTCTTCAGTTGAAGTATTGTTTCCTAAATTGCTATGTCTTTTCTCAGTTTTTCTTCTTTTCTGAAGAGGCTTTTCAACTTCAAAACTATGAGTTATTTTTTTATTTATTTCCTCAGCTCCATCCCAAAGAGTTCTGAAATAGACATCATTTCTCTCAGATGATAAACATTCAAAAATGGTTTCTATTTTTGAAGACAAAGAAAAAATGTCCATTGTTTCACTCTGAAGTTCTCTGGAAAGAATTCCTGTAATACTCAGTACATGATAAAGAAATTTTAAACAAAAGATAAATTCAAATTTGGAAATCGATGCCAACAAATTATTCAATTCATCAGTCAAATCTGTGTTTGAAGAATGCCTAGATATAACTTCTAATGCTTTAATTATCTCTGGGAGATTCTCCATCACAGATAGCAATACACAATCATGGACTGTCCAACATGATTGTGATAAGTGTTTCTTGCATATATTGTCTTGGCTTAGTTTGCACGTGTTTTGAAGACTTGCCAACATTTCCCCATACGTATGAATACTGTTGAACAAAATATTGAGAGTATTTAGAGTACTTCGGAGTTCTTTTATTTCTTTACAAAACCTAACGACTGCTAAATCCAAAAAATGTGCATAGCAATGAACATGTAAAGCTCTTGGCTCGTCTTTCTTGAATTCTTCAGCAATTTTATTAAAATTTCCCCTTAAAGTAATGGTACTATTATAAGCCTGACCACACATGTTTTTCAAATCAACTCCAATTTTCTGCAGATAAGTTTTGATAATCAAATGTAAATTGGTCCCACTTACTTCTTCAGTATCGATAAAACCCAAGAATCTTTCTTTTACTAAGATAGCTTTTGATGTTTTGTGTGGATATCTTATACAAATTGTAAGCAATTTTTTAGTGGCACTCTCAGTTGTTTCATCACATATTATGGAAAAAGCTGGGGATACATTGATCTCACTCACAATATCTTGTAACATTTCAGACTTTATCATTTCAGTAATTTCAGTTTGGATTTGTGAACTAGTATAGAAGTCAATTTGTGAGTTCAAAAGTTGAACTATTTCTTCTCCTTTATCCTTTGCTCTGATTTCTAATAATTCTAAAAAATTGCCTTTATTTATAGATGAAATAGAAAGGTCATTTCCTCTGAAGGCTAAACACTGCTTTCCAAGAAATAAAATATTTTCAAAAAGAAATTTTAGGTAGCTTTTATTTTCCTCTTTGTTTTTTGAATGAATAGACAAATTATTAGTTAAAGTTTCATCACAAAGCTGGTATTCTTTCCAAAACTGCAATGACTTCAAATGCATCTCACTTTTTTCATGCTTCCTGAAAGCTGTCATGGTTTTTTCCCAATCAGAAATTCCTTGGCTTCTAAATGACTGTCTCCCAGACCTAAAACTTTTTTGGCAGAACAACTGGCATGAATAACAGAATGGGACATCCTTTTTAGTATTGTCTTCCAAATGCTGATTTGAACACCAAGATTTTTTAATAGTTCGTGGCTTTCTTTTAACTTTTCGTATTCTGCATGTAAATTTTGGATGACACTGTCTACTTATGTTCATGGATTTCATATTATGTGCAGGATCCTGGCTTGCCAATTGATCTTTTTGTATTTCTGTATTACAGACAACTTTATGTTGACTGAGAACTGATGAAGATGCTGAAAGGCTTGGCTGTTCCATAATATTATTAGTAGCACTTGATTCACTGGGTGAACTCTTAGGAAACTTTGGAAGAAAACGATAAAACACATTATCAGTCTTAATAATTTCAAATAAATAAGAGATTTACTCTATTACTTATACAGTAATATGAGTGGGTAAGTTATAATATGAGATACACTTGGGGAAATATTAACAATTATTTAGAACTATTTGCATTCAAGATTTATTATTAATTTAAAGTGTAATAGTAGTAGAAGTACTTTTTATTACTTTTTATTGCTTAGGTTGCTTAATAAATATAAAAAAAATCAAGTATACAGAAAAAACATATAAATAGCAATAGACTGTTGCTGTTAAGTGCCCTGGAGTCGCAGGCGACTCATAGCGACCCTACAAAGGAGAGTCCTCAATGCTTGGGTGTCTTTCATCCTCTCTTCAGATTCATAGGGTTTCTGGAGGCAAGCTATTATGGAAGTGGATGCCTCCCCTGCTTACAAGCTTGTTTTAATCAGGAATCTCCACCCCACTCTGCTCTGTCCACACTGGGTAACCAACCATTAACACATTTGACACATCAGTGTCACAGTGTTCAGTCTCAAAGCAACCACAAGTTACTGCTGTACACCAGGGCTATATGACCTAGAGGAATGTCTGAACAAAAACAATGAGACAGCGGCCCAAGGGCTCTTCAGTGTCTACCATCCCGGCAAGCCCAAACGCTGGCAAACTCTGGGCCCCAGACCCCCAAGTTCATCTGGCAAGTCGGTTCTTCGAACCCCCACGTGGGGCAAAAAGAACACCACAAGTGCTTGTCACTCCACAAGAAATAGCAATATATTTACATTTGTATTAATAATTTAAAGTTGAACTAGAGATTTGAGAAATAGTACCTTTAGTGCTTATTTCTGAAGTTTAAGATGAAAATAAGAATTAACATGCTCAAATACACATACATAATTTGCTTTATTAAAAAATGCTAAAGAAACTGAGAATAAAACTTACATCTGTAGCGACATCTGCTGTTATTGGACAAATTGTACCTGCTAAATTAATTAGAACATCAATTCAACATCTTATACTATATATAATAGCATCATTTAAAAAAATTAAAGCTCCCCCCAAATTATATCATTTATTATAATTTATTATATATGAGGGAACAAAAAGAAAATTCAGAACACAAATTCATTAAGTATGGCAAAACAGTACATACAGAGAGTATCAAGTTAGTTTATACCTTCTAAGACATCTGTGTTCACAACTGGCAGGTCACTATGAGGATCTGCCAGTGACACTATACTGCTTATAACTGGAGTTGTATCTTTCGGAGAAAGGAGCTCAGCTGAAGACTCCTGCACCATGGGAACACTCCCTGATTAAAATAAGGGGGGGTGGGAGGAAGACAGACTTCTTATACAAAAGGCAGAATCAACTAGAAAGAGTGCAAATATCTAAGACTTTCTGGTACTGATGGGTTAAATCTTTCTAATTAGAATAATCTGTATTAGAATTCAGGGATAGCTAGATTCTTTAGGTTAAGAGCACCAACAATATTAAACTGAGCAGCTTATATTTGCCATTATCTTACAGCTTTTTGCACACTCCACAGTCTTTTTATACCTTTTACTTGAAACTATTAAGGAAATTTTGGCCATGAAATCAGCCCTGAAGAAATTAAGAGATTCTTACATGTTCTCTCTAACTCTTTCTTCCTGGCTTTACAAACCTCAGCATTAATGGAGTTATGCTGATATCCAAGCTAGTGCTGAAGAAATTTCTATAGTAAGCCAGTATATAAACTCTAGGGACATCATTCAATCTTCGGTCTTTTTACAAAGACAAAATGGCATTCGTGGTACCACAGGAGGCTCTCTGATAGAATAGTTAGTTGACCTTGAATCATCTGTGCATTTATTTTAGTAAACATTCAACTAGATCTAATTTATATGAATAATATTACTGAAGCTTTTACAAAGCAGGGATGAATTTGATATAATATTCTATAGCAGAACAATGCATTATCATAAATTATTCTTTAATGTTTACTACATTTAGTTACCTGTAGAAGATTCTATTTTAGTTTTATTGTAAGTAGAATAACAATGATAAGAGCAGAAAAGCTGTGTCTTCCCAAAGTCACTGGTAGTTTCAATAATTTTATCTGCACGATTCCATGATTCGAAAGGATCAGATGGAAGTACTTTTTCTCGTTTCTGTTTAGAGATCAAAATGATACTCATACTCCCAGTATATGCCATATACTGTTAATAAAAACATCACTACCACTGCTCTCAACACATAATGAAATAGATTAACATTTTTAGCACTTTCTTAAAATTCAGAAAAAAGACACTACAGAATAACTATAAAATAAATAAATCAATTAAAAAATTAAACTGTATATGCCAGACATATTAGCAACAATATATATAAGCAATGAAGAAACTGGTCATATAAAATGTTCCTCATCTAAGGTATTCAATCAAAGATACATAAAGCCAAATGAGCTGCCATTGAATTGATGCCAGCGAATGACTACATGTGAACGTCTCATTAAATCCCATAGGTTTCAATGGCTGACTTTTTTTGGTAGTTTTATTTCTGAGGCACCTAAGTGTTCACAAACCTCTAACCTTTTAGAAGTTGAATGCACTGTCTGTACCACCCAGGAATTCTCATAGGTAGGCTTTATAGCAGACTAGTGTTTTGCTTTATTTATACATGATAAACAGGTTTCCATTCACTTTATTTCCCTTCAAGGTATAGTGATCACCCTGAGATTCTTTAGGAAAATCTCCATCGAGCATTTATCATGAAATTTTAGGAAAGAAAAAGTATCACACGTCTTCTACTTCCATCTTCTATGTATCGTCTTACAAACCCACAGTTCCCATTATTAGCAACCATTATTCCCAATGGTGTAAAAATCTATTTTCTCACATTTTCTACACTGGAACCCTACTACTCATAGGCTAACTAATAGAAGAAACAAAGTGTATTTTCCATTTCAATTTTATAATATCAAGTAAAAGAGTATTGTGCTCATGTTAAGCAATAGATCTTTTTTCATACCTCCTTGTATTGTGTGATATTCTTTGAACTGCACTGAGCCTGTCCTTCCACCTGAAGTGTGTGGAATGAACTAAAACTAGTATAACAATATACCCCACAGTTCTCACAGCAGTTCATGGAGAGATTGTTAGCTGAATGAAACTGTAAGAAGCAGATATTACTGCAAAGACTGTGTTCCATGTTCAGGTATCTTACTTCATATTGAATCTAGGAATTTAAAAAGAAAAACACAGAAAGTCCAAAACTGTGATAGTTAAGCATAATAACAAGAGTTCCTAAAGTTTAAGAAAAATTACAACTTACAGCAGTAGTCTTCTGACATATGCTGCATATGGTTGAAATGCTATTATTGCATATGGTAATAAATGGTTTTCTTTTTTCTTCATATGATGAAAGACAAGATGAGTTGCAAAAATATTTGCTAAAGGTAGTATCTTCCAGTTGAACACTGATCAAATCCTTCAGATTTAAAATGTCTCTAAAAATAAATAACAAGGGTAACATCACTTTCATCAAAATTACTTTATCTTCCTGAGGTAAATCTTGACCTCAATCATGTCTCTCCCTAGTTGGTCTATTTACCAAACAAAATTTAAAACAGTAGCAGAAACACAAGCTTTAGAAAGAACCTAAACTTACTATTTGTTTCTATCACATTAAGTAACCTTAGAAAAAGAATTTATACTCTCTCAATATTAATTTGCACATTTTTACTTGAAGGAAAAACTATTATTCAGAAGCAGGTACACAGAAGAAATTTTCTCATTAAGAAAGAGACTGTTCATTCAAGTAAAACTAAGGATTATAAAGCACATCTCAAAAGTGCTGCTTTAAGGGAGCTCTGGTGGCCTAGTGGCAAGAAGCTGCACTGCAATCCCAGAGGTGCACAGTTCAAAGTGACCAGATGCTCTCTGCTGGAGAAGGAGGGGCCATCTCCTCTGGTACCAGTCAGATCCGATTTGACAGTACACACACACACACACACACACACACACACACACACACACAGTAAAATAAAAAAAGGTGCTGCTTTAGGGCCACCTCTGTATTATTTGGTGATAGAAATAACCAAATGGTGATGAGAAATTACATTTATACCAACTTTGAGGGGTGCCCATATACTCTCAGATATTCACAGGACCTGTGTTTTCAGTGTTGACATTTGAGCTCATAATGTAAAAGCAATGATGTGAAAACTGCTTTTAATACAAATCAAGGCATGACATAAAACTGTTAAGTGTCATTAAGTCATCTAAGACTCATACTGACCCTATGAACGAAAGCTTTGAATCTTGCCCTATCCTGAGCCAGTGTCACCATCTCTGACACACCTAACCTTTCCACAATCACTGTGTCAATCCATCTCTTTCCACAATCACTGTGTCAATCATCTCTTGCACTGACCTTCTACCCTTCCAAGCCTGATTTCCTTCTCCAAGAATAGCCCCATTCTGACAAGTCCAAAGTATGTAAGACAGAGTTTCAAAATTCTTGCCTCTAAAGAGCAATCTGGGTTTCATCTTTTCCAGGACAGACCTTTTTGTTTTCTTGGCAGCCCATGATACGTCCAATACTCTTCTGGCACCACAATTAGAGGGCATCGATTCTTCTTCTGTCATCTTAGTCATTATCTAGCTCTGAAGATATATAGCAAGCAATTGAGAAGACCATGGCTTGGATCAGGGACCTCTGATGCCCAAGTGGTAAGAAGGTGCACTGCAATCCCAAAGGCATGTGATGTCAAACCCACCAGCTGCTCAATGGGATAAAGATGGACAATCTCCTCCTGTGCAATTTTATTGCCTCTGAAAACCTGTTGGAGGGTCAGTTATGGGTTGCTTCTAACTCAAGAGAACACAGCAATGGCTTAGATCAGGTACACCTTAGTCTTTAGACTGATATTGTTGCTCTTTAGGACCCTGGAAAGGTCCCTGACAGCAGATTAACCCAATGCAACTTGTTTTACCATTTTTTGATTGCTAGTGCCAAGGATGCTGATTGTGGATCCAAAAAAGATGAAATTTTTAACAACTTCAAGCCTTTCTCCATCTATTATTATGCTCTCAAAGATTCTCACCACTGGGCCAATTGGCAGCATCATGATAGATGGAGAAGAGGCTGAGGCTGTTAACAATTTCAGCTTGCTTGGCTCCAAAATCAACACTCTTGGCACCAGCAGTCAGGAAATCAAGAGAGGAATTGCACTGAGGAAATGTCAGGGACCTCGCCAGAATGGTGAGGAGCAATGATGTCAGTATAGAGACTAAGGTGTGCCTGATCCAGGCCATGGTCCTTGCAATTACTCTGTATCAGAGAGTAGAACAATGACCAAGGATGATAGAAGAAGAATTGATGCCCGTGAGTTGTGCTGGAGAAGCGTCTTGAACATACCATAGACTGCTAGGAGAATAAACAGGTCTAGTCTTGGGGAGGGTGAAACGAAGTTTCTTCTTGGAGGCAAATATTTTCAAGCTCCAGCTGACATACTTTGGGTATGTGGCCCGGAGGGACCAGTCCTTGGATAAGGACATCATGCTTGGAAGAGTGGAGGTACAGCACAAGAGAGGAAGACCTCGGATGAGATGGGTTGACATGATAACTGGGGCAATGGGCTTAGATATTTCAGAGTCACTGAGACTGGCAGGCTTCAGAGCTGTACAGAGCTGTTGTACAGTGGCTTGCTCTGAGTCGCAGGTGACTCAATAACACATAACAATAACAACATTGGCCTAGTGGCAGACTCCTGTGTCCTTAATGTTGAGATGCAATCCATATTGAAGGCTGTAGTCCTTGATCTTCTGCAGCAAGTACTTCAAGTCTACCTTACTTTTGGCGAGCAAAGTTGTATTATCTGCATAATGCAGGTCTTCTTAATAAAGAACAGATTCTCAACATAAGAAAAAGAAGTCAAAGAAGAACAAAGAGAAAGAAAAGGAGAAGGAGAAAGATGACCAAAAAGTGAAATCTGTCACTGTGTAAAAGGACAGATTTTTTAAAAAATGACTTAATTCCTAAGTCATCTGTATTAAATTTTGTTATAATGTAAAGAGATTCAATTCAAGCCTTGTAAATAATGACATGGAAGACCCTGTGCTGCACTTAAAATATTGCTGCTTGATTATTTGATTTTTACATCAGAGCTTTATAACACGAACTTTTGTACAGACTTGTGACTTGTGATCATGTAATATGAGAGGTTTTGCTAGGGCCTATTATTTTTTAACCACCATTAATTAGTTGAGGTGGAGTTTACTGTACTGTGAAATTTTCACATTTGAATTTTTTTAATTGCCTGGCAGAAGCTGATACAAGTTCTAAAATATCAGCAGAATGATTTGCTGACTTCATTACAACCCCATTATGTCACTTTTTGATTACAATAAAAGTTTTCAGTAAACTTTAAAAAAAAACAAACCAGATTCTCGACTGGTTTGTTTATATAGTATGGAAAAAGGATACATTCATGATGTACTCTTTCCCCCGATTTTTAAATTTTGAACCATGCAGCATTCCCTTACTCTGTTTAGACAACAGCTTCTTGGCCTGGGTATAGATTTTGCATGAGCACATTCAAGTGCTCTGGGATTCTCATTCATCTCAATGTTAGCCATAATTTGTTGTGATCTACATAGTCAAATGGCTTTGCATAGTCAATAAAACACAAATAGACATCCTTCTGGTACTACTTTCAGCCAAGATCTGTGTGACATGGACAGAGACAACCCTAGTGTCACAGCTACTTCTAAATCCAGTTTAAATTTCTTGCAGTTCTTGGTTGATGTAGTGTTATTTTCACTGTCAGTATTCATAGTAAAAACAAAACCCTAATATATGCTAGTTTTCCTTAAGAAAGGCCTTAAGCATTAAAGTGGCCTGAAGCAGTAAAATTATTAATTTTATAAATCTTGATCATTGAATATATATTCTTTTGAGGAATATCAAAAGTATAATGGTTCTTTCAAGTAATAAGCACATATAGGAATGTTAGGTGTTGCAATGTAATTAACTGCTTTTTCTTTCTGGAAAGCATTTTTCCTTGAGGGAAAAACTAATTCAAAAGTAGGTAAACAGCAAAAATTACCTTAAAGTGAAACTGTTAGTTCAAGTAAAACAATAGTTGTTGTGTGCCATTAAATTGGAACTAACTCATAGTTGACCCTGCAGTGGGTTTTCAGAGGGTGTAAACTGTACAGAAGGAGCCTGCCCATCTTTCTCCCATGAAGCAGATTATGAATTCGAACCACCTGCCTTTGGTTTGACAGCAAAACTTCTTGCCAGATACCATTGCTCTCTCAAACAGTATTTTTTGCCAATTGCAAAATTTACATTTTTGAGGAAAATCCAAATTTTGGAAAACGTGAATCTGCCACATTTAGCTTTATGGCTTTTAACCTTTAGAAGGCTTTTCTCAATAGATTTGTGGTGTTATTTACAAATATAATTTTTAAAATACTGATATATGTTAACTTTTGGAAGATCTGCATAATTGAGTGAGCTAATAATGTTTAAAAATCGTGACATGACAAAAATCACATATGGGTAATAAACCTAGTCAACATACAAGAGAGGCCAATGAATTTTAATATAATTGAGTACAAAAGGTCATTGGTGTGGTTTCCACTTTGATAATGTAACTAACTTTTAAGAAACTATCATCTACAACCAGGCGAAAATAAAATAGATGAATGGGACGTTCTAAGAATCAAATCCCTTTGCACATCCAAAAACTTCTCCAATAGGGTAAAAAGGGAAGCCACAGACTAGGAAAAAGTATTTGGTAATGACATGTCAGATAAGGGACTTACATCTAGAATTATAAAATACTTGAGCACCACAAAAAGATAAGGGTAAATAACATAATTGAAAAATGGGCACAGGATATGAATAGACACTTCACTAAAGAAGACATTCAGATGGCTAACAAGCACAAGAAGAAATGTTCAAAATCCCTCGCTCTAAGAGAGATCCAAATCAAAACAATGAGATATCATCTCACCCCAGTCAGAATAGCAAAATTTAACAGAACATCAAGCAACAAATGCTGGAGAGGTTGTGGAGAAACTGGAACCCTTATTCACTGTTGGTGGGTGTGTACAATGGTGCAACC